ACACTTAATTTTTCCAACATTCGCGGACTGAGATCCAATTTTCCTGCTGTGGAGCACCATCTATTAACCTCTTCACCCGACCTCCTACTACTTTCCGAACTTCAACTGACCAAAGCAGCTTCACCCAAACCTCTTCAACTACAACCTTTATACCTCCTTCCGTTCTAAGGGAGGTGTATGCGCCTACTGCAACACACGTACACCCATAGCTCGACTCACGGAGGGAGGCCCAGAGCTAATGTGGATTGTTCTTTGCTATGTTAAGATTTAATCATCGACTCACGGATCTTGAATCTTCTCTTTATGATGTCATCTGGCTCAAAATATCTCTACCTACTGTAACTATTTTTCTTTGTTTCCTATACTGTTCTCCCAACTCTACCAACTATTTCGAACTCTTTGAGTATCTCACTTCTTGCCATAAATCATTGCTATCCACACACCCCAACAACGAGATCCTCTACCTAGGGGATTTCAATGTACATCACAGAGAGTGGCTTGGCTCTGCAAGGGATGACCCAGGTGGAGCTGAGGCACTCTCCTTTTCCCTACTTAATGATTTGGAACGAATAATCAAACATCCTACACGCGTTCCTGATGGAAACGATTAACTTGCTAACATTCTTGATCTTTGTTTTACCTCTAACCCCTCACACTATTCATACTCAATTTCTGCCCCCTTAGGGTCTTCTCATCACAACCTTATTTCTTTTAAATCAAAGTGGGCACGACCACCTCCCCCGCCCCCCTCTAAACGTCAACTATGGCACTATCGGAGGGCAAGCTGGCAATCCTTGCGAGAATTTTTCACCGACTTTCCCTGGGATGAATGTTGCGTTTCCACTCGGGAAGCCTCGGTATGTGCTGACAGCATTGCTGGGGTTACACAAGGCAGTATGAGTGCATTTATCCTATCTTCTACCAAAACTTTCAGATTACAATCATGGTTTGAACGCTCTGCTCTCTTGCTTGCAGGGTGAGAGATAGGGAATATCGAGCTATGAAACTATCTCCTTCTACTATTACCCACACCTCTTTCATTACCTTTAGGATTCACTGTAAAGCTATTCTTCGTAAAGACAAGCGGAATTTTATTAAAAGGAAGACCGCTGTCCTGACGAATTCTTCCTCTAGGAAATCCTTTTGGTCCTTAACTAAAAACATCTGTAACAACTTCTGCAGTCCTTCTTTTCCTCCCCTCTTCCGACCTGATAACTCTATAGCCAACTCTCCTCCTGACAAAGCTAATCTCTTTGGCACCTTATTCTCCTCTAATTCCTCCTTAGACGATTCCCACTCTATCCCTCCTACCCCTGCACCTCCTACTGAACCTATGCACTTTCATATAATCTCCATTCGCAGGGTTGCCGGTGTGTTATCCAGGGTGGATGTGAGAAAGGCGCATGGACCGGACGGAATACCCCCTCGTATTCTCAAGGAGTGTGCTGAAGCCCTGGCCCCTGTGCTTGCGCGCCTTTTTCGCACATGCCTCAAAACCCAAACTTTTCCTTCTTCTTGGAAGCATGCCTTGGTTCAGCCCATCCCGAAGAAGGGTGACCATTCTAATCCCTCTAACTATCGCCCTATCGCCCTAACTTCATCCCTCTCTAAGATTTTCGAAACTATCTCGAACTCCCATTTTCTCCGTCACCTTGAACGCCTTTCTCTTTTGTCGGATCACCAGTATGGCTTTCGCCAGGCGAGATCTACTGGTGATCTGCTCTCCTATTGCACCCATCTTTGGTCATCCTCTCTTAGGGATTATGGGGAAACTTTCGTCGTGGCCCTCGACATCTCCAAAGCATTTGACAGGGTATGGCACAAGTCTTTGCTATCTAAACTTCCCTCTTTTGGTTTCTCTCCCCCACTTTGTTTTTTCATCTCTAGCTTCCTTGAGAACCGATCCATGGCACTTGTTGTCGAGGGATCGATCTCCCACGCTTTCTCTACCAGTAGTGGTGTCTCACAGGGTTCTGTTCTTTCACCTACTCTCTTCCTTCTTTTTATCAATGATTTACTTCACACTGCAACTAATTCTATCCATTCTCACGCCGATGATTCTACTCTTCACTCTACTTCACATTTTCCCCTTCCTCCTAATCTCAAACGAGATCTGTTTCTAGAACTAATATCATTACTTCTATCAATGCGGATCTGTGCAGCATCTCTGAATGGGGAGGTAGAAACTTGGTTAAGTTCAATAGTAATAAAACTCAATATTTACCTATTACACTTTGTACATTAGAAGATCTCCCACCAAATACATTTCAGGACGCTATCATCCTGCCAAATTCTGAAATAAATATGTTAGGCCTCACCATTTCCTCCAATATGTCCTGGAAATCACACATCCTTAGTATAGCTAAAGCTGCCTCCCGAAAGTTGGGAATGCTGTACAGATGCCGTAGCTACTTCACTGAGCAGTTGCTCCAAGTATATAATGGATCCACTCGTCCTAACTTGGAGTACTTCTCTCATATCTGGGGTGGCTCTTCTTTTGTCCAACTATTAGATAGTGTGGAATCAAAGGCATTTCGTCTTATTAACTCTCCTCCTTTAGTCGACAATCCCTCTTCACTTTTTCTTTGCGGGCAATGTTCGGTGGATTTGGCATCCTGTGTACTGCCGGCAAGGCCGTGGGCTCGTAAAACACGTTCTGCCCGCGGTGCCCACCGTTTTTCTGTGGATGTCGGTCACACGAGAATAACCCGTTATAGTACCTCCTTCTTTCCTCACACAGCCAAACTGTGGAATGCTCTGCCTTCTTCTGTATTTCCATACTTATACAATCTGTCTCAATTTAAAAGGGTGGTTTTCCGGCATCTTCGTGGTGTAGATTAACACAATATTTCCTTTTTGTTCTCTATTTTCAATTTAATTCTGTTCTTTTTTCTTTTTTTCGCCCCCCCCCCCCAATCCCCGATGTGGGTCGTTTGACCTGTGCCCGAGTGGGCTAATTCCCGTAAAAAAACAAAATATCCTCACACGACTCTAAATTTATCCATGTTTCGGTGACTGCTTTTATATCAAATTTTTCGGTACATACACACGCCTTGATTTCATCCCTTTTGTTAGTCGTGTTTTGAGGCCAATCTTTGTTGTATTTAAGTTTTAACTCCGTGCCGAATTTAATTTTGTCATCATTCCTAGCACTATTTTTTTGTATTTTTTTATTTTGTTTACCTGCTCCCACTGCAGTCTCCACGATCCCTGTGCTCACGTGTTCCCCCTAGCAGTTTAAAGACTTTAACATCTTTTGAACTGCCTTGTCAAGAGAGCCAGCCAGGGTTACCACCACATCCTTAGACAAATGTACCCCATCCCTAGCATAAGGGTCCCTTCTGCCATAAAAGTTGTCCAAGTTGTCAACTAATGAGACTGATATTGACTTGCAATATCTGTTAAGACGGCCATTGACACCAAATGCCCTTGACAACCATTCATTACCAAATCTCCTTCTAGGCAGGACACCACATATAATAGGGATCCCTCCCTTCACCCAAATACGTTCGATGGCTGTCTTGAACTTATCAAGGAGCTCCTCACTCTTGCACCAGCCAATATCATTGCCTCCTGCACTGAGGCAGATAATGGGTTTATTCCCATTACCAGACAAGATATTGTCCATTCTGTCAACTACATCCCCCACCCAGATCCAGGCAAATACACTCGCATCCTATTTTTATTTTCGTCACAGAAAGATCCATCCAGGTACTGTACCTGGGAATCATCAACAATTAAGGTTTTCGTACCTCCCTTGTCAGCCCTGTACCTGATTACGCTACCGTCCGTTTCGTCTATCAAAAGGACTGAAAGAGCTATTACACTGAGCTGTTGTCGTTTCCTTGGTGTCTTTTCTCACCACCAGTTTGGTCGTTCCTCTCCTCACAACCATCCATTCGCCTGTGTCTTCATCAGACACGGGCTTTCCTTGTCTCGTGTCTTCCTCCTTCATCCTTGCAATCACTTCCCTTAATTTCAAATTTTCGTCCTTGACTTTACTTACTCAGCTTCTAACTCGGCCCTAAGAATGGCACAGCGCTGTGCACAACAAACACTAGCCTTTACTAACAATTACTCCCCAGGAGCTGAAGAGCGCTCAAATTATCTACAAATTTGCACGTATATCAAGCAGTGATCCTCCCCACCCATCTATATGGCAGCGAGATATGCGGCCCATACAGGAGGCACCTCAAGGCACTTGAAAATTTACACTAACGTAACCTACACTCCATCCTCAGAGTTCGCTGGGAAAACAATAGAACAAATGCCAGTATTCTCGCTGCCACCAATAGTAGGAGCATCGAGGCTACCATTATCCACTAACAACTATGTTGGACTAGCCATTTTACCCATAGGGACGACAGTAGACTGCCAATCAGCTACTTTAAAGGCATCTAACAAATGGTAAAGGTAAAGCTGGCTGACAAAGGAAAAGTGTAAGGATAATTTTAAGACAATTATGAGAAAGTGCCAAATTGACCCCCCTCACCTGTGAGACGATCACTCCACACTGTAACTCTTAGAGGAGCAACGCATGAGGTGTCATACTTTTGAGTTAGCCAGCGCCGGAAAGACGCTGCCGCCTCCCGTCCCAAACTAGATGTAGCCCTTCACACGTGAAACATCTGAGGACAGCCCTGCCGATCCCGTATCGGCCTCTTGAGTTACCTTAGAGCTCATCAACGAAGGTGATGTTCTAAATAACTCGTATCATTGTATCAAAGCTTCATGATCGCCAAACTCGATTCCGAGTGACACCAAAGTAGTAGTAGGAGGGTGGTGGTGGATATGGAGGGTGGTGGTGGATATGGAGGGTGGTGGTGGATATGGAGGGTGGTAGTGGGTATGGAAGGTGGATACGGTGGTGGTGGAGGTGGTGGTGTAACCTATGGTGAAGGTGTTATATTCCCACTCTCTTTAGATTCCCTCTCTTTCCTCCCACTCCACTCTCACTATACTCTTACATTCTCATGTTATGCTATGTCATGGTCTTGCAGATTCTTGGGTGGGCAGTTTATCATGGTGACAAGGTGATGGTGTTGGTCGCCTTCGCTCTTGGTGCTGACCCCAACATCTGTAAATGGAGTAAAACTATCAATGAGCCACACTGCCTGTTGACCGTAGCGGCCCTGAGAGACCACGCCCACCTGGTACCTCACCTTGTAGCAGCAGGAGTCCCGGTTGACGGTTCTCGGAGGGCCTCCCTCAGGCCTTTACACTGGGCGATAAGTTTGGGTTATAACCTTGTAATGAAGGCACTGCTCACTGCTGGTGCCAATGTGGAGGTCAGGACTATGGAAGGTAAGAACTTCAACACGAAGTGTGTGTGTGTGTGTGTGTAATAATAATAATTAACGGTTTATTGAAAGAGCTTGGCAGCCAGAAGGCTGAAAATATACAGTTTCATAATTGGGGAATGGGTTTCGAATTACAAATAATATACAAATAACATAAGTGATATAAATAAGATATATAATAACTACATGGGGAAAAGCTCAAACTACAGGGCATTTCAACATAGTGACAGTGGAAGAAGTTGTATTTACTGGGAGTGAATACACTGGTTTATTACAAGTTATTGATAATTTTTACAATGGGTGGGACTGGGCTGTTCTTATAGCGATCATTTCGTGAACGTATGGGTTGGATGCGGTTGTGGTGTCGAACAGCAATTCTCGGGCTAGGGATCCTAGGTGGTAGTAGGAGTCGGTGTCGAGGATGGTGCAGAAGCTTCTTACCAAATTTGCAGATAAGGTCGTGGTGATGGTCAGTGAGAGTCGAAAGGGTCAGTGTGTTGAGCGCTTCTTGATATGTGGAGTAGGAAGGGGAGAGAATAATCTTGCATGCCCTCTTTTGCACTTTTTCTAGGTGTTTACGTTGTGTGGCATTTAGGGAGGAAGACCAGGTAGGGGAGGTATAGGTGAGCTTGGGAAGTATGAATGTTGAGTAAACACTGAAGAGCTCGGGTGCAGGAACTCCGAGGGACTTGAGTCGGTGGAGGAGGTGGAGACGGAAACTGGAGGATTTGACAACTTCTCTGACGTGTGGTTTCCAATTTAGTTTGTTGTCTATGGTGACGCCGAGGAGCTTCGTGGAATGTACAACCTGGAGTGTGTTCGGACCTAAATTAATGGAAGGGGTGGGACAACGTCGGAGGAGAGGTTGATGTGCATAACCATGGTCTTGGTATGGTTGATGGTGACATGATTGTTGGTGGCCCAGTTTTGGAGACTGTTCAATAAATCCTGAAGGGCGGTATAGTTGGGAGCAGAATTGTTGACGCTGATCCCAATGGTGGAGTCGTCGACATATTTCCAGCGAGCGGGGGTTTCTCTTAGGGTATCATTGATAAGCATAAGGAAGCAGAGTGGTCCCATCCGGGTGCCTTGGGGGACGCCACAGGTGAGTGACTGAAAGTGGAGACAACCCCTCGGAAGCGTACAGCTTGGCGTCGGTCACTGAGGAAGTCTGTAAGCCATGGTATAAGACTTCTCCGAAGCCCGAGGTCAATAGCTTTGTTGATGATTATATTGTGGTCGACTAGGTCGAATGCTTTAGTGAAATCAATGAAGGCGACAGCTACAGACGTTTTTCGTTTCTCGAGATGGTGGCATATGTAATCGAGAAAGCTGACAAGACAGTGAGTGGTGGAGGAAGTTTTCATATTGCCAAACTGCTGAGGGTCTACGACTCCTGCAATACCAGCATAACCCCAGTCGAACACAAACCTTTCACAGATTAGGCTGGGTATTGGGGTGATTGCAATAAGTCGTAGCTGATTTAAGGATTGTGGGCTGGTTGACTTGGGCACTGGTGATACATAAGAGGTCTTCCAGTCAGCTGGGCATCTGGCTTGACTGAGAGAAGCATTGATGATGTAGCATAGGGGCTTAGCAAGCTCCGGGGAGAACTCCTTGAAGAGTTTCATTGGTAAGCCAATTGGGGGGGTAGAGCGTTTTAATTGTAGTTTTTCCAGACGTTTTGTTACTTCAAATTCTTCTACTAAGTCAGTGGGAAGGGGGGCTGGTAGGTAAGCAGGGAGAGTGGTTGTGTCAAGCCGGGAAAGCGTCTGGCATATAGTAGCGAAATGGTTATTTGATTGCTCAGCTGCGTCAACATTAGTAAGATGGCTAAGGAAGGGGAGGGGGTGTGTCTTATTGTTTAGTCCACAGAGTTCTTTAAACTTACCATACCATTGACTGATGTTGGTCTGCTTCAGGTGTTGTAATTTGGTTGGGTAGTGGGACTTCTTTGCAGTGCGTATTTCGCGGTTGACTCGGTTGCGAAGGGACCTCTAGCGGATGTGGTCATTGAGATGAAAGGCTCTGTCTCTCTGTTGCATAAGTCTTTTGATCCGAGATGTGATCCAGGGCAAGTTAGCTGGGTGAGATCTGACGGACTTCTCGGGGAAGAAGTGGTTGAGAGCTTTCGTGGTGGTGTTGGTATAATTTTTCCATTTGGTTTCCACGTCATCCACGCTAAGTACTTCAGTCCAGGGATGGTGAACTATCCACTGCCCGAAGAGACGCACTGCAGAGTCAGTAATCGGACTGTAGGTCTTGATGTAGGGTCTCTGTACTTGAGTGGGAGTGGCAGCTGGGGACCAGAGCACTGATAAGTGTGTGCTACACCCGATAGGAGGCATTGGTTGAGGTGGTTGGTACTGGTCCGCTAAGTTAGTTAAGATAAGGTCAAGGGTATTTTGACCGTGTGATAATGACAGCTGGTCCTGGATATCAGTGGTGTCAATTTCATTATAATCCCCGCATAATACTAACTTGGCACATGGGTACCTAACTATGAGGTGGTCTGAGGTGGTAATGAGATGATTGATAAGAGTGTCTCTGGTGGGTGAGTGAGGCGGATGGTATGACACACAGATTATGATGGAAGCAGTGTGGCGCGGGTGGTCCCGTGGCACAACACGTACCCATAATGCTTCCACACCTGCTGGGACTTGAACATCCAGGCGTGACGGGCGTAGGTCATCTTGACAGAAGAGGGCAACGCCCCCTCCGCGTCTATGTGAACGAAGGTGATGAAAGAGTTGATATCCCTCAATATGACACGTTTCAGGCACAATTTGCCAAGCCTCACATATGGCAACGACGCTCACAGCGGCTGACCTGACTGTAGTTGCCAGCTCGTCGAACTTGTTAGCTAGGGAAGTGACGTTGGATAGCAGTAGAGACGGGAGATCATACCATATCCGTGGAACTTCAGTGTAATGGTACGGTCTGTCAAGGGTGGGTTTCTCCTGTTTCCAAGTGGAGGTTACGGTCCTAATGGGCTTATGTGTATGATGGCCCTGTCTACGGCTACGCGCGTGGAATATGTTCAGTGACTTGAGTCGCGCTATAACACTGCCATCAGGATAACCGTTCCCACGCTTTAGATGGTACAGAGTGAGTTGGGAGTAAGTGATTGGTGGCCATCTGTTGATATCTGTTGTGGGCGGACGAAAGTGTTTGTCTCCGGTGGCCATAAACTCACTGACGGTACTTTGAGGGCAACTGACACTGGTAGACATCTGTTAATATTTGTCAGTCGTAAAGACCATGGGTCCTTGTCCCTGGCGCTTGGGGTCGCCGACAGAGTTTTCACGATATATGTAAACACCGCGGTGGTCCTTGTCACTGGCACTTTGAAGGTGACCGATAAAGTGCCCACTGTCTGACTTTTCCTTGGGATGCACTATCGGAGCACTGTATGATAATCACGTATTGCACTGATGACTTGAATGTTTTGCTGAGAACGTCCCGGTGTAGTGAGGCTGGTAGGGCGTTGGGATATACCAAGATGCAGGGCCAACCGGCTCAGCCTGCACGCCAAAACCCGGAGCCCCTACAGGGCATGTCTTGTCTCACTGGTGGTTCCAGGTGTGTGGCCACGTGGCCAGGACAGTAGCTTGGGGCGATGCAGGTGTGCTCCAGCCTTCAGGTTAGGTCAGTAGACGTGTGTGTGTGTGTGTGTGTGTGTGTGTGTGTGTGTGTGTGTGTGTGTGTGTGTGTGTGTGTGTGTGTGTTATATATATATACCTTACATGTTGAGTGTTGACTGTTTTTGTTTGCTCACGTTTTATGTATGGTGGTGTTAATTTTTACTTGTTTGTGTTTGTTAATTTTCATGTTATTGTACATTTTCACATAATTCAATATAATTATTTGGAATTGCACATTTTTATACGTGCAGCTTTGTGTCTTGGTGTGGGTTTACATACGTATCAGAAGGTAGAGAAGGGAGAAAGGCTATAGGTTGAAGGGTATCTCGTGAGTCCCTAAAATGGCAAAACTTTTCTATGGGGAGATTAACACCTCCCAGACCAGGAGAATTACTGATAACTCAGCACTAAAAAAATAAGCAACAGAAGTAGGCAACACATCACTTCAGGAAAAGGCTGGAAAAACTACTCCAAGTCGGACGTCAGCATCAGACTTGAAATCATAAGTAAAGACAGGAATTGAGTCTGTATGCTGTGATGCAAGCGCTAAAAACACCATACGCAGCATCTATTCTTAATAGTTAGCTTTTGCCTCATTGAAGTAACGAGGGAAGTGCATATCAGGAAGAATTCATTAGAAAAATTGGCGTTAGCACGATATCCGGAAGAGTAAGGCAATCGTGGGTACCTAAAATAAATAGGAAAGTCATCTTCTCCCAACACACGCACGCTCTCTTCGGGGAGTCTGTGTACCTTTTGGGGAGTTATCAATTGTTGGCATCGTAGTTCAAATGGCATCACCCCTGGATTAGAAAAAACTTAAAAGCCCTAATGGTCAGACAAACACCAGTAAATTAGATGGAATTTATTGTCTTTAACCGAGTCGGTGTTGCCAAGGAGTAAGCTTCGAATTAATATATTTTTTTTTACCCCACTGACACCATAATGTAAGCGGAGATCAGCTCCTAAGAATTGTGAACCAACACCCGGAGGATATCCAGTATCCAGTGCACGGTCACACAAATTATTGAAAAATCGAAGGTGGGAACCAAGTGAGTTTTCTATCATAGATCAGCCCAAGAAAGCATGCTTCATCCACACGCAAAATTCTGTTCCCATATAAAAACAGGTGGAAGTGAAAAAAGTGCATGGCCACGATTTTCGTGAGGGAAAATAGGAACCACACCTATCTGCTTACTGGGATACCCTATTCGGCGCCACCTGAAGGTGGTGTTCTATCATTGCCATCGTTATTGCACAGAAAATTATCGGTAGCTCATCCACAATGACACTGTTTGTAATGAATGGCAAACAAAGTAACGCTGAGCACACTACCCTATAGGAGACCTTCGTTCTGGCA